TCGCAGACACATCCATCTACGTAAAATACACAGGAGAGGAAGCTGAGCTGTGATTTTGCTCTGATGACATAAAAACTTTTGTAAACACAGTGTCATTTACAGTACGAGCAAGGAGAGAGGACAAAAATAAACAGCGAGTGCCTGGCGCATCCTTTCAGGAGCACATGGAAAATTTAATAATCTTTTTTCCATAAAGCTTTGTTTTCCTTTTGATTTATCCAGGCAGGGCAGTGGCTGCTTGGCCATAAATAGATTGTATTTCTTGAGAGGCAATGGTTGCAGTCATCCTTTTTGTTGCCGGAGGGGCGGTGCGGGAGGTGTGTGTACAGAGAAGATGCCGTGGATTGCTGCTGAGAACAGGAGCGCCCGGGCTCGGCACAGCACAGCCACGGCCACGGCGGGTGCCCGGCTCACCCCCCCATCCCTCCTGCTCCTTTGGTGGGGCTTTGAGAGCCTGAACCCCCCCCCTTGGGGTTGCCTGTGTGATGTTGCTGTAGGATCACGCAGCCTAGTGATGCAGTCTGGGGGATGTGGGCAGCGTGTGGGCGCAGGAGGGCACAAGCGCCGGCACGCGTGAGCTCCCCTGCACCCCAACCCTCCCCCAGCCCCTACAAGACTGGTGCTGGCGCAGAAAGACACGCGTGGCAAACCCTTCTGGAGAGGAGGGGTGCCCCGAGTGGGCTTCCACCGCTGCGGTGCTCGCATCCCAGCCTTGGCCGTGACCCCGGGGCTGGGTTCATTGCTGATCAAACTGACTTGGTTTCGTTCACTTCCACAGGTTCTCTCCCTCTTCACATCACCGGGAGGAAAATAATCCCCCCAGAGCAGTGACACGCGCACAGCCAGCCCCACGCACCTCTCCTTGAAGCAGACTCTGCTCGTGCCTCAGTTTCCCAAGGCTTTTTTGCAATCGTTCCCCCCAGGCCTCCAGAAGCAGAACTGTTAGGAAGGTGCTGAGTGATTATTATTGCATTATTTCGGGTGAGTGCTATAAATACCCAGGGGCACCTTTAGACACAACCCAGCTGCCCGGGGGAGCTGGCTCAGCCCCGCTCTGCGCCTGCAGTGGCTGTTGGAGGGGGGGATCGGAGGCAGTGGCTGGGTGTGGAGGCACCTCAGGGCACAATCTGATGGGGGGACATGGAGGGGGGCTGCAGGTTCTCTGGGCCAAGACCTTTCTGGATGCACCCCAGGGCTGCGGCAGAGCCTGGAGCTGGGGGGATGCGGGAGCAGGAAGGTGCCGGGATGCTGCAGGGAGACGCTCGCAGGGAAGACAAGGGGAATATTTTATGGGGCTGCAATGTAAACAGAGCTGGAGCAGAGCCCCTTTTTATGGAGTCCCTGTCCTGCCAGGGCATCTGCCAAGACCCTGATTTACGCTCCTATTTAGATAAGGGAGCCGGAGCAGGGGGAGCAGAGCTGGCGTCAAAGTCACAGGACACCCCGGGCTGCCGCTCGCTGGGCACTGATAAGGAGGTGGCCAAGGGGCCGGGGCCAAAACCGCAGCCCCCGTCCCAGGGCAGGGGATGAGTGCGGAGCTGGGTGGGTCCTGCTGGGGTTGGGGTGCTGGGGGCTGTGGACACCCAGGATAACCTCACTGCTGAGATGCGGCACCAGCCCCCCCTTGCCATCGCCTGGCCATGAGGGCAGGAAATCTTTCTCTGGGAAGGATTTGAAGGAAAACAGGTGGAGAAAAACATGGTTCCTCCCGCCATGCCAGCCATAAATCGCCTAATCCGAACCGCTCGGCGTTTCCCCCCTGCGCGAGAGGGGAGACGTGAAATTAAAGAAACTCACCAAAAGTTTGAGAAGTGCTAAATTTGGACGCCATGACAAAGGCAGTCTGGTTTGATTTAGAAGGTGTCGGCGTGAAAAGGGCTCCAGTTTTATTATTTTATTAAAACACGAAAGATTAGAACGATTTTCCAAAGGAAAATCAACCCGACGGTCCCACTATTTGCTCAGCTGAGCACTTCCCAAGTGCACGGGGTCCAGGGACCTCCAGTGGGGGGGGATAAAGGAAGATAATGCCCGGGCTTGGGCTGGGCTTACCTGGCTCAGCAGCCGCAGGCTGGAGGTGGCTCTGGCGCACGGCTCAAGGAGACGGCTCCGAGCTGGACGTGGCTGTGAGTGGCCTGCACAATGCAGGGCTGTGGAGATGGAAGGAGTCTGGTCGGTCAGGGGGAGCAGGGCACTGCAGGTGATGCTGTGCTGGTATGGCGGGGGCAAGGCATGAAGCGGGACCCCTGCCCCTCTCCCAGGCGGGCACTGGCCCCTGACGGCTCCAAGCCGGACTGAGGGATCCCACCCAGCCACTGGCATTTTGGAGGAAATCGGGGACACGACGCCCTACCCAAGGCCTGACTCTAAGGGAGGGTAATCACTAGCAAATGTTTGCAGGGCGCTTGTTTAAAGGGGGTGGGGAAGGGGGGGGCCTTTGCAGCAGCTGAGAACAAAGCGGGGGGGAGCGAATTGGGTGTAACAAGATGCTTCTGTACCAGGATGTAACTGGAGACCCGCTTGCACCCTGCCCCAGCCCCCCCGGCCTCCTGCCTTTGCGACTCGCCTTGTAACAACTAACGATGGAAAATCCGAGGCATTTAAGTGGCTCCCAAATCCGCCCGGGAACCGTGATTGAGAGAAGTCAAATAAAATTTGTCATCTTTAAAATGCAGGAGGACGTTAATGGTGTGTTAGCCCGGATGATTAATACAAGCGCCTGCAAACAACCCTCCAACGTTTCCACCCTCCACTGCAAGATGAATCGCTGGAAAGCGCCGTTAATCGCTAACATACCTTGGGCCCAAAGCCCCTTCCTGCCCTGCCGCGCTGTGATCGCCACCGCCGTGCCCGGGCTGTCCTCGCTGGGAGTAACTGCAGCAAGAGCAGGGGTCGGACCCAGCGTCACCCAGCCGGGCTGGGGGCGAAGCGCGGGGTCTGGGAGCCGTCGCCCTGGGGGTCTGTCTCCCATGGGTGCAGAGGCGAGCAGGACATGCTGCCTGCTGCAGGGCCCCACGCTGGGCTTGGGTTTGGGGGCTGCGGTGAAGTACAAGATCCCAGCCTCAGCGGGACCCTCCCTCCCCAGCCCTTTCACAGCCAGGCTGGGACAGGGAAACACAGGGCAGGGCAGGTCCCCACCGCCCTATCATAAATACGTTTGTGTGTGCCGGTGGTATAATTTTTACATATTTATGTATGTGGGTGCAGTGTCTGTGCATGGATGTGCAGCGTAGACATGTATTTATATGCCACACATCCAGTTGTATGTGTGCACACACAGTATGTGTGTGCATGTAATATATATATGGTGGCGTTGTGTGTGTGGCGTATGCGTGCTGCTGGTGTGTGCATGTTATATACGCGTGCAGTTGAGTGTGTGTGTGTAACATGCTCATGGTGTATGCGTGTACGGCACAGATACCTATCCTGTGTGGTGCATGCAGCATCTCTGCATTTGTGGTACGCGTAGGCAACATGGCCGCTGTATGTATGTGAGCCACATGCGTGCGTGCTGTAACTGTATACGTGTGCAGCACGCGTGTGCGTGTGCAGCGTGCATTTGCACAACGTGGGTGCGTGCTGTACAGGCGTGCAGCGTGCTTGAAGGCGTGCAGTGCGCATGTTTGCAGCGTGCATGCGTGCAATGCACGTGTGGGCACAGAGCTCGCGTGGGCAACGTGCCCCATGCCCAGGGGCCCACCCTGCCGCCCCCA